GGAATGGGCTCTTATTCTTACCAGCCTAGGAAATTGTCTTTGGATCTCGAGAATAGAAAGACTCCACCAACTAAACCTTCAATTGAGAAGCCTCCGGTGTTGGAGTTGAAACCACTTCCTTCACACCTCATGTATGAGTTCTTAGGCTCAAATTCTACTTTGCCAGTTATTCTTTATTCTTGCCTTACTAACATGCAGGTTGAAGCCACATTGGTGGTGCTTCAAAAGCGGAAAAAGACAATTGGATGGACTCTAGCTGATATTCGGGGAATAAGCCCTGCATTCTGTATGCATAAAATTATCTTGGAGGATGATGCAAAGCCTTCCTTGGAGCATCAAAGAAGATTGAACGAAGCAATACAAGAAGTTGTGAAAAAAGAGGTGATCAAGTGGTTGGATGTCGGGGTTGTGTACCCCATCTCTGATAGCTCTTGGGCTTCGCCGGTGCAATGTGTACCGAAGAAGGGTGGCATGACCGTGGTTACAAATTCTCAGAATGAGTTGATTCCTACAAGAACAGACACTGGTTGGAGGGTATGCATGGACTACCGCAAGTTGAATAAGGTGACCCGCAAGGATCACTGCCCTTTGCCTTTCCTTGACCAGATGTTAAACCGACTTGCTAGGCGTGCCTTCTATTGCTTATTAGATGGGTATTCTGGGTACAACCAAATCTTGATTGCTCCGGAAGATCAGGAGAAGACCACATTCACTTATCCGTATGGCACATTTGCTTTCTCTAGGATGCCTTTTAGGTTGTGTAATGCACCGGCTACATTTTAGCGGTGTATGATGGCCATTTTCACCGATATAGTGGAAGACATTTTCGAGGTGTTCATGGAAAATTTTAGTGTTGTGGGGGACTCAATTGATGAATGCTTGAAGAATCTTGATAGAGTGTTGGCCCATTGTGAAGAAACCAATCTTGTTCTCAATTGGGAGAAATGCCACTTTATGGTGGAAGAAGAAATAGTTCTTGGGCATAAAATTTCGAAGCATGGCATTGAGGTGGATAAAGCAAAGATCGATGTGATTTCAAGGCTCCCTCCCCTACATCCGTCAAGGGAGTCCGAAGTTTTCTTGGGCATGCGGGGTTCTATCGGAGATTTATCAAAGATTTTTCGAAGGTAGTGAATCCCTTGTGCAAGTTGTTGAAAACAAATGCTAAGTTCGTGTTTGATGATAAGTGTATGCAAGCCTTTAAACTAATCAAGCATAAGTTGACCACCACTCCTATCATTACCGCGCCTAATTGGAACTTGCCCTTTGAGCTCATGTGTGATGCTAGTGATGTTGCGGTTGGGGCGGTTTTGGGTCAACGAGTGAAACAAATGTTTCATCCGGTGTACTATGCGAGCAAGACTATGAATGATGCTCAAGTGAACTACACGGTGATCGAGAAGGAAATTTTGGATATTGTGTTTGCTATGGAAAAATTCCGGCCGTATCTTATGGGTGCTAAGGTTATTATTCATACCAACCATGCCGCACTCCAGTACTTGACGACGAAGAAGGATTCCAAAGCTAGACTGATGCGATGGGTCTTGTTACTTGAAGAGTTTGATTTGGAGATTGTGGACCGGAAGGGTAGTGAGAACCAAGTGGCGGACCACTTGTCCCGCTTGGAGGAGGAGGGGAGGCCTCGTGATGGCCTAGAGATCAATGATTCATTTCCTCACGAACAACTCATTTCGGTGTTGATGAATGATATGCCATGGTTTGCCGATGTTGCTAATTTCTTTGTGACCGGTATAATCCCGTGTGAGCTCTCTTCTAACCAAAGGAAGAAGCTCAAGCAGAATAGTTTGGATTTTTATTGGGATGAGCCGTACTTGTTCAAGATTTGCACGGATGGTATGATCCGAAGGTGTGTCCCAGAGGAGGAGCAATTGAGTATCATGGAGGCTTGTCATTCCTCTACCTATGGTGGCCATCATGGCAGGGCGAGGACGGCTTCTAAAGTTCTTAGTTGTGGGTTTTATTGGCCATCTTTGTTCAAAGGTGCGGGTGATTTTGTGAAGAGATACGACGAATGCTAAAGAGAGGGTGGAATTTCGAAGAAAGATGAGATGCCTCTTAATACCATCCTTGAGGTTGATATTTTTTATGTATGGGGCATTGATTTCATGGGCCCATTTGTTAGCTCTTGTGGGAACACTTACATTCTCGTGGCGGTAGACTATGTTTCAAAGTGGGTTGAAGCCGTGGCTTTGCCCAACAATGAGGCCCGGAGTGTTGTCGCATTTCTCAAGAAAAGCATTTTTACAAGGTTTGGTACTCCTCGTGCATCATAAGTGATGGGGGGTCTCATTTTTGCAATAGAGCTTTCGACACACTACTTTCTAAGTACAGCGTCAATCACAAAGTTTCTACCCCCTATCATCCTCAAGCAAGTGTTCAAGTTGAAGTCTCCAACAGGGAAATCAAAAGAATATTATCAAAGACGGTCAATGCAAATAGGACCAATTGGTCGAAGAATTTGGATGATGCTCTATGGGCTTATCAGACTGCTTACAAGACTCCGATTGGTATGTCTCCGTATCGGTTGGTGTTTGGGAAAGCTTGCCATCTACCGGTTGAGTTAGAGCATAAGGCCATGTGGGCTTTAAGGAAGCTTAATCTTGAGTGGGATGTTGTAGTCAATCTTCGTGTGGAGAAGCTTAATGAACTTGATGAATTCAGATTCCATGCCTACTCCAGTTTTTCCTTGTATAAGGACAAGATGAAGTACCTTCATGATAAATATGCTCATGGAAAGGAGTTCAAAGTAGGTGATTTGGTTCTCTTGTTCAACTCCCGGTTACGTCTGTTTCCGGGAAAGCTCAAATCAAAATGGAGTGGACCTTTTGAAGTGGTGTGTGTGACCCCATTTGGTGCTCTTGATTAAAGAACAAAAATGGTGAAGTTTTCAGAGTTAATGGGCACCAGGTCAAGCATTATCTTGGAAAAATGATGACAGCCATGTGGTGGCACTTCTTCATTTTAAATAATATGATGGTAACCTGCGTCGTGCCGCGACGTTAAATCAGGCGCTTCTTGGGAGGCAACCTATGTGTTTTCTTTGATTTTCTTTGTAGTATAGGATTAATTTTTGGGCTAACTGGTTGTGAGATGTTACAGGATTGTGTTGGTGTAGTGCAGGACATAGTGAAAAAAGAAATGTCAGGTCTCTGAAGTTGTTAGTGCGGCCGCACTACATTCAGTGCAGACCACACTAGTGAAGGGTAAAATATCAACCTCTCTAAAGTTTTCCACTGTAGTCGCACTACTTTTGTGCGGTCCTGAGTGGACCACTGCAGCTGCAGTCCATTTTGTGTGCACCGCAGTGGGTTACTTGGTCAAACTTGGCAAAAGCTGTGTAGTGCGGACCGCGGTCGATTTTATGCGGTCCACACTGGTTGGTGAGACTGGGCCCCAGGTCCTTTTCTATAAATAGGGCCTGAGGCCGTCCTTTTACCCTTTTCAAACCTTGACTCTTAAAACTGATACAAGCACTGTTCATCACCGTCTTTGTTCTTAATTAACTGCTTGGGCTTGTTACTCTTCATTAACTCTCACATCTGGTACCATTACTTACCTTTTACTTGTTCAATTTTGTTAATTTCATTTAATTTTTGTTTTTCTTGATTTCCTTCCTATGCTTCCCGTAGTTTCTTCAATTATTTAGGTTAGGGTAGTTAAATATTTTATTAAGGTAGACTTAGGTAGTTCAATACAATGGGCAAACATGTAGGGACACTAATTAGGTGCATAACTGAGCTTAAAATCAAAAATTCATGAACCCTAACTTAGTGCCCTAACTGGGTACTCAGTGCGGACCACAATCGTCTCTGTGCGGTCCGCGGTGCCCCAGTGCGGTCCGTAGTACCATTTTTTGCAAACCGCCTTGATGAAATATTTGGAAGCTGAACTTTAGGCAGTGCGGCCGCACTACATTTTGTGCGGACCGCACTAGCCCCTGTGCGGCCGCACTACCTAGATACATAGTGTGGGTAGTCTGAACCCCACCCTTGTGCGGACCGCATGGCTATTTTGTGCAGTCCGCATTGACCCTTGTGCGGCCGCACACCATTTTGTGTGATCCGCACTGGGTGATTCCTGAGAACTGTCTGCAATTCTTCTTTTTTATTCTGCAACTTTGGTTCTTAACTGATTACACTGATACTAACAAGCTGATTGAATTATGATTGCAGACAATGGTAAAACAACGAGGCAAAAGAACTAAACAACCTGGCAGATATGGATCTTCCCGGGGAGGGAAGTAGAAAATGATAAAACTCACTCCCCAAGCTAGGCAAAACATCAAGAACATGAGGAAAGCAATAAAAGCTGCTGACATAGCCATTGACATGTCGGGGAGTGAGTACGAGCCCTCCCGGGAGATTTCTTCGGACTCTGTGCCAGAATACATCCCTGACTAGCCGGAGAGGCATAGACTGAAAGATACACCTCCAGCATCCCCCACTGCCCAAGCATCAGTGAACATCTCTTCTGGGTCGTCTGAGAGCTCAGGTTATGGTAGTGGGGAATACTCCACCTCTCCCACAGCTTCATTATCCGGAGAGGGTGCAGTAGGTGATGAGGAGGAAGTAGGGGAAGACGAAGAAGTAGGAGAAGGAGGTGAACCACAAGTGGGGCGTATTTCCCGAACTAGGAAGCCGGGGGTGTGGCAGGACCGTTTTGTTAGTGAGGTAGCATACCACAAGTACTGGGAATAGTGGCTGGTGAGAAAGTTAATCCCGGAGCGGAGTTTTATTGATAGAGACTTACTACCTCACAACCCCAATGTGAGGAGGCAGTTTAGGACAAGAGTGGGCTGCGAACATTTTCTAGATGAGTCTGTGGATGCCAAAAAACACTTGGTCAAGGAATTTTACACCAACATAGCCCACATCAAAAAGGGCTCCAAAGTGACCAAGGTTCGAAATCTGAAGGTGTTGTTCGGCGGGAAGACAATCAATGACTATCTTGGGTTCAATGAGGAAGATGAGACACTGTACATGGAAAATATGGAAATGGGCGATGAGGTTTGTCCCTGGCTAACACGTACTTGGCAATCCCAGGTACCACCCTCGACTGGTTGACTGCTGGAGTCAAGATCTTGAGACGGAATTTGAACTTTGAGGCACGGGGGTGGGAGACCTTTGTATGTAGCAGGTTGGACCCCACGACACATGACAACTCCCTCCCTCTCCATCGGGCTATGTTAGTGGCTTCGATCATGGCGGGGTACCCAATCAATGTGGGGAATGTGATGTCACGGATTATTACTATTGTGGGTGCCGAGCATGACAGAAACTACCTGTTCCCTAGTTTCCTCACTATGTACTTCTGGGACCTGAAAGTGGAGAAGAGGCCCTTCGCATCAAAGTCAAAGCGAAGGCCCCTTTCTCCTGGTACAACATGCAGAGGGATGACAACCCCAAGAGCAAGAACTTCAAGAGTACAGTTACTGCTCCATCTGGCCAGTCTGAAGAGCCAGTTGTGGTAGTGACTTCAGCTGAGCCTACCTCAACTTCCACTGCTACCCCTCCTGGTCCATCCACCTCAGCGGACCCAGAGATTCCATCTTCCCAGGCCCATCCTATTACTGCCCACCTACTAAGCCAGGCACTTCTGAGTATCAACAACTGGATGCAGACTGCCTCATCCAAGTTGTCCATCCTGACTACCATGGTAGAGGCTCAGTAAGCACCTCCAGCCCCACAGGTTTCCCAGTCGATAGAGGATGCTTTGAAAGAGATTTTATACAACCAGAAGAAAATCCTCGACACTCAGAAGGTGCTCACAGATGCAGTTGCTTCACACAGCCAGTCTCTCAAGGAGCTTGCTAGAGAGCACAAGAAATTGAGGATGATGCAGGCTTCCAAGGAGTCCGTGAAGGTGCTGAGGGTTGATGTTGACCGGTTGAAGGAAGACCAGCTGCCTTTGGACTTATTGCTCGATGATCCTATGCCAACAGCTCATCCCTAGACAGAGGAGTCACAGAGGCCTCCCAAGAGGAAGAGGATGATTCCTAGAGAGGATGATGCAGTCATCTAGTTGGCTGACCCACCGGAGGCTTCCTCCAATCAGCCTTAGGATGCACTTCAGGAGCCTGTCCAGGTCCAGGCCCAGGTCCCAACAGTAGCAGAGCAGCAGGCCACCGAGAACCAGTCTGAGGTTCCCGAGCACAGTGAGGACCCTGGGACCACTCAGGAGGCTATGCAGACAGACAGGCCATAGGGAGTCCCTATATCCTTTATCCTTTCTCTTTTGATGCTTTATTTGGTTTAGTTGGCATTGGGGACAATGCTAGCTTTCATTTGAGGGGGTAGGCCCTATTTTTTATTTATTCAGATGATTATATATATATTTGATACTTTTTTATGCTTTCTTGATTTTTCATCTTTGGGTTGTATATAATTTTAACATTTCGTACATTTATCGCACATTTATTTTACTTTGGGTCTGTATATAAAGTTATGTTACGTTGTACATATTCATCCCATCTATTGTATATTCAAATCTCCTCTTGTATATATTCATTTTACTTTCCGCAATTTTTCTTTCCATAGCTTCATATTTGTGATTCGTAGCTTCTTGTTTTGAAAGTTTGCAATAAGCCTTTGGTTTTCTTAATGTCACGGTTCTTTCCAAAGGTGGAGTGTTGTGTGAACCGGGTGGCTCTTCCCAATGATGGATGGTGTGACAACTTTCTTAAGGGTTTGAGTCCGTTTCTCTTTTTGTTTTTAGTAGTTAGTAGTTAAGGGTGCCTCAAGAGAAGCTTCACTTGTGCCTAGCATATTTGCCTTTGATCTTATGGTCGAAAACAAATTGTTGTGTTTAGGATGGTGAAAGTAGTGACCATGAGACTTTTGTGTTGACCGATAATCATCAAGTGGTTTTTCGTGACCATTGTGTGCTCAAATCTTATCTAAGGTCGTTGTGGGTCCCCAACTCTTTGTCTTTAGCAATCCCATAGCTTGTGTGGTGAGTAATCATATTGCAAGTCCATGCCCCGAGCCATTGGTCTAGAACTTGCCCTGAATGTTTGTTGAGGCGAAATCCTAAGTGAATTTTGACTTGAGACATGATTATAGGCTCTCCTTGGTCCAAATGATAGCTTGAACACTTCCATAACCTACCAATGATAAGATCCCTAGTCAACCCTTTTGAGCCCTAGACCTTTTTCCGTCAAGAACCATGATACAAGCCTATACCCGTTCTAAAATATACCCTCTCTTGGCACCCGATCTTTCCTTTAGCACTTGGCAAAACTATAATTTTGTAGGGAGAGATGAGGATTGCAACAAAGTGGTAAAAAGGCACAAAAATGAAGAAAAGGAAAGGCAATGAAAAAGAAAGAAAAGCAAAAAGACAAAAAGAATGTTCAATGTGAAAAAGAATAAAAAGGGATTCAAGAAAAGCAAAGAACGAAAGGTGTGGAATTCATACAAAATAGTCCCAAAAGGCTCACAAGTTGTGCTTTATTGCAGGTTTAATCAACAAAGTGAAAAGATGTCAAAGATCAGCTCAAAAGGAGTGAAACTTGAACAAGTACCAAGACAAGACAAAGCTCAGGCAAAGCAAGGTCAGTGCGGCCGCACTACATTTTGTGCGGTCCGCAATGTGAGGTTCATAGAGCATGACTTTCAAGGCACAAAGGTAAAGCGGTCGTACTAGGATTGGTGCGGTCCGCATCGAAGGCAATGCGGTCACACTCAATTTAGTGTGGTCCGCAGAACCCAAGATCAGAGAGGTACCAGTTTCAAGGATTCAAGTCAATGTGGTCTGCATTCCATTTTGTGCGGACCGCACTAGAAACCTCCGCGGCTGCAGTCCATTCCTTGCGGTCCGCAGTGCCTGAGTTCAGAGAGTCAGATCTTCAGATTCAGAGCCCTAGTGCGGCCGCACACCATTTTGTGCGGTTCGCACTAACCCCGCAGGGGCATTTTTTCCAGAATTTTCAGCTTAGTATAAATAACTTCTTTTCCCATTTTTTAGGGTATCAAATAGTTTTGTAACGTAGCTGCACTCATGGGTTCGACTTTCTTAGCCATTATGGGCAATTTTATCTTCTTTTCATCATTGAATCTTGTTATTTACCTTAGTGATTAATTAATATGAGTTGTTGTTCATCTATTTCTTGTTTTACTTCTTTAATTATGAGTAGGTAAACCCATAATCTAGGGTTGTGGCTCAACCCTAGTGTGGGTAATTGATGGGTCTTATATTTTATGGCTAGATTGACTATGGGTGTTTGATATTTGAGCCAATTTCATGGTTAATTGCTGAATTAGTGGTTGCAAACACTAGTTTATGATTAGTTGACTAGGGCTCTTCTTGAGAAAGAGAGCCTAAGTCTCCGAACTTTGTCTAACAAGGAATTGGGGCGTACTCAAGAGATTGATAGCCCCAATTAAAGGGTTAAATCTCGAGAGAGTAATACCTGACTTGAACCCTAGTTGCTTGTGCTAATTTGCATACCCAATTGGTCTTGAGAAAGTCAATTCAGGCAAAATCACTCGAACCACCGAGAGGTGTAGCATGGGTAATATCTTACAAAGGTTATATCATACTCCCCAATTATTTCAATCGTGTCTTAGATTCAATTACCCGTCAATTGAGGCGAAAGTCACTACCCTAGTGCCTTTTAAACCATTTGAACAACCCGTAGCATTAACTCTTAGCTTAATCTAGTTGCATTTATCATTTGTAGTTTGATAATAGTAGAAGTAAAACGAAAACCCCAAAAATTATTAGAACTGTAATTTGGAACACATACGCAATCCTAAACTAGATAGATGCTCGATTCCGAATTCTAGCACTCTGTGGAAATCGATCCCGACCCTAAATCGAGTAAAAGCTACTCCGACCCTTTCTCGCTACTCAATAGTAGTGCGGAGTATGCCACGATCAAAGCCATAACTGATTCACCAGTACGCCTCAAACTAGAACTAACATAGCACATAACCGTGCAATCAACTAATCAATAGCAGACTCCCCCACTTGGTTCGAAGCCATAGATCAAAACACATATAATAACTCATAACGCATATACTCTATTGCTTCCATAATACCATAGTGAGATTAAACTCAATCCTTCATAAGCTCGTGCAACACAGACCATCTAGTACTTTAAATCTTCTGCAAATCTCACATTCACTCTCGTAATAGTCAAACCCACTCTCTTAGGTGACCCAAATTCAAATTGCAATACACATATTTCCCTGGTAACAGAGATCTTCCAATAAATGACATACAGGATTATGCAACTTCAGAACAATTCGGAGGATATAATCCAACTGCTTCGCCTTAACTAACATCTCTTCATACCCTTCCACCGTTATAGACATTACATAGTTATTTGATCTTCCTGAGTCTTAACTCATATCACAACATGAAATCCATTTCACTCCCCCAACTAGAAAACATGAAAAAATTCTTCACACACCCATAACTCGGGGCTATACCTCAAATCAAGATAGAAATCAAGCACCTAATAGTTCTTCTATCCTCCAGTAGACCCTTCTCGTCTCATTCGATTCATATGAACACATATCGCAGTCACATCACCCTCATCACGTAGCTATCCAGTCATTACTTCTCTTAATAGGGGCACAACAAAATATATAGATCCAGTAACACGTGCTCACGCAATCAACAGCTCAGGGCTCAAGCTATAGGCAAAAATTCGGCCTCAAGTCTTCTAGACTGGCCCAACATCAACACACAGAGATCACATCTCACCCCTCGATCAGGGAATCACAAGCCATCAATGCACATCTGATATTGAATGCTCATGCACGCATGCGAACGCGCGGTAGGAATTCAAAGAGTTACATTTCAAACTGAATCAAGGATGCACGATAAGAATTCAAGGATGTGAAGTTTTTTCCTAAAGGTTTTGTAGCCTCCCAAGGATAAGTATAGACATCTCTGTACCGATCCGCGAGACTCTACTAAACTTGCTCATGACTCGTGAGACCTATGTAACTATGACGACCCGGCCGGTCGTCTTAAGAATGAATTCCCTGATCCCCTATTAAATACTTTCCCCGAGTTCATTTCTACTATTTTGATTTGCCAGGACGTTCGGTTTTGAGTTTCGGAGAGTTTTGGGACACTTAGTCCCTAAATGAGAGCTTAAATGTTGGAAAGCTGATCGTAGTCGGAACAATGTGAAGACGGCCTTGGAATGGGAGTCTGATGGTTTCGTTAGCTTCTTTGGTTAATTTCGGGCTTAGGGGCGTGTTCGGATTGTATTTTGGAGGTTCGTAGCTAATTTAGGCTTGAAATGCCGAAAGTTGAATTCATGAAGTTTCTAGTCCGATAGTGAGATTTTGATCCGAGGGTCGGAATGGAATTTCGGAAGTTGGAGTAGCTCCATAATGTTTCATGTGACGTGTGTACAAAATTCCAGGTCACTCGGACGAGGTTTGATAGACTTTTTGATCGAAAGTGTATTTTGAGAATTTTGGGAGTTCTTAGGCTTAAATCCATAGTTAATTCGAGGTTTCGAGGTTTTTTTTAAGTGTTTTAAGGATTGGTACAAAATTGGGTAGTGGTTTGTGGCTTGTTGGTGCCTTTCGTTGAGGTCCCGGGGGCCTCGGGATGAATTCGGATGGTTGACGGAAGGATTTTGGAGTTTGAAGTTTGCAGCATCAGCTGGTTTTTTGTCTTAATCGCACCTGCGGTTTGGGTCCCGCATTTGTGGAGCCGCAGAAGCAGTGGAGAAGTTGCAGAAGCAGAAGTTAGGGAGGGTCAGCAGGCTCCGCAGATGCGGGAGAATTTTCGCATAAGCAGTACCGCATCTGCGAGTGGGAGACCGCAGGTGCGAAAGCCGGTCTTTAAGTGAAAAGTCGCAGATGCGACCATTGTTTCATAGATGCGGGACTGCAAAAGCAGTCCCTGAACCGCAGATGCGGAACAGCTAGGCAGAAATATGAAATTTTGAGGGTTTAGTTTCAAAAGTTGGAAATTCGATTTGG